TTGATGTTGCACCAAAATTGCAGCTTGGGTTTGCAGCAGTTCCCCAGTTCTACAGGGATAATAACTGGAAGTCAGTGAAGTTCAAAGGAGATGGATCTTCCTTGGTCTGGGAAGCAGCACTCTGAAATGAGACCTGGTGTGACTAAACCTTTGTAAGCGGGAGCTGGTTTTAGCAAGAAGGCATCTAAAAGGTGAGATCTGGGCCTTTCTGGAGTTGGTAGCAGAGCTCCCATTGCCTGTGCTGGAATTTGTGTTTCATTAATGATGCAGAAATTCCAGTACCTGCCCCTAAAGGGTTGTGTCTCTGCAGATGTGTGAGTAGTGTTAGGTAGCTCTGCATAAGAGTTTAAATAACTGATGTGTTCCTGTAGAAATATTCCCAATAATAACAGCTGGACTGGTTTGGCTATTAGGACTGGTATATTCAGAATAAACCCTCCTGCCCCTGTGACTTTTAAAATTTTATGGAGGAACTTGAAATTCTGTAGCATTCTTCTCAAAATGCTTAAAAGCCATGACACATTCCTATTTATACCGGGCTTTGTAAGTGTTTATTCTTCTCTTTTTTTTTTTTTCCCTTTGTAATATAAAACCTAAATTATGTTCCTGAAGATTATAGGAACTTCCCTGTGAAGAAATTGATACTTTTTAGTGAAGGAGCAGTAACTCAAAGGTCAAGTAAGGTCTTTTCAGTTTTTTCCTCAGAAATGTTATTTAGGGAGGGTCTTTCTATGTTGATGTCTTGACTTATTTATCTCAGTCTAGGCTGAGCAACTTGCTGCCTTTTCTTTAGGCCTGTCAGGCTTTCTTGTGCTGTTCTGTGCCCAGATCCCAGTGCCATGAGTGTTTGAGGAGAAGGACTAGTGGCTGTTGTTGAGGCAGTTCTAGTCCTTGCTCAGGTGGACTCGGTTTGGCCCAGAGAGTTGTTAGAATTATGATCAGTCTTGGGGTGTTGTGGTGGCCTCTCTCTATGGTATGATCTAATATAATGGGTATGCATATTATTTGTCCCCCTCCGGGTGACATTGTTCTTGTTTTTCGTTAAAAGAAGGAAGTTTTTCTTGTTTGCCCAGTGACTCTGGTCTTCTGGTATGAAGATGAGTAATGTTGGCACTGCTCCATGCACCTGCTCAGTGCCACCCTCTGAGATCACCTGAGCCCGAGGCAGCAGATCCAGGGCAAGCAGGGATGGGACAGTTGAATGGAAGCTGAGGAGGTGTTTATGGTTGGAATCTGAAACCTCCTCCTGGTTAGGAGCAGGTGCTAAAATACTCTCACAGCATTGTGTGCCGCCTGGCAGGTTTGGGTGTTGGTGCCAGACATTGGGGACCTTTATTCCCAAGGACTATCATGGTGTGTATTCTCTCCCTTCCTCCTCCTTGGGTAGGACTGAAATGAAGTAAAGAGCATTCAGTGATAACCTGCACTATTCATTAAATAATTTAGGACCTCGCCCTTGGGAGCCTGGTGCTCCCAACCACTTCAAAGTGAATGTGTGTGCAGAACAGCCATGTTTCCAGTGGTCTTGGAGACACTGAGATTAAGTGAATTTTGCAGGATCAGGCCATCAGCCTGCTGGGGTTTGTGTGGGCCATGGAGCAACAGCGTGTTTCCATGAACCAGGGGGTGACTCAGCGTGGGAGCTGGTCCCTGCAATTGCCTGGGGACTCACAGCCAGTCCTTTCTATGCTATCTCTGTTTCGTGTTCCCCTCCTCTATTATAGTGTGCAGGTATGTCTGAAGATAACTCTGCACCTAAAAAACCAACCTCAGACTTCATCTAGCTGATAACATCCCATCACCTGTTGCCAACCAGGACAAACAGTATCACATACACATCTTCTAAGAAAAACACAGAATTATTTTGCAAAATTTGCTGCTGGAGTTTGAAGTCTGTAACTGGATTGTTTTGTGTATGAGTGACTCAAAATTTAGGAGTAAAACTGAAAGTGCTTAACTGTCCTCCAGCCCTATTGAGGTGGTGAACCTGTTCTTGTCCCACCTGATGCATAAGATAATTAGCTCCTTGGCTAAGCAGTAGTTCTGGGCAAGTATGCACAGGCTGTCCTCACAGGGACTCTTGCATTCCTCTTAGTTTCACAAGCTAAAGAAAGATCTTTCTCTTTGCTTGTGAGGTTATTATTGCTCCATGCAGGTTAATTGAGCTATAGCATTAGAGGCACTCATCAAACAGTGGTGAGTCGCTCACTTGTCTAAGCTTGTTTATTTTTATAATGCTGAAAAATATTTGCATGCTGTACAGAAATGTGCTGCTTTGATTCCCTACAGCCTGGCAGTATTATCATTTTTAATTCTTCATTAATCTTTCTTTCTCATGAGGGACTGGCAAGGTTCCTGTGCATAATTACATGATCTTTAGGACAGAAGCCTCAGCTACTGGGTTTTTACACAAAGCCCTACAAATATGAGGCTTTTCTTCCTTAAATAATACCCACGCTACCTCCCCTTTTGTGCCTGTTCTTGATCTCAGCCTGGTGAAACACTATTTGCAATTCCTTTGTTAGTTCTACCAGCTCTAGGTTCTGATGTTTCCTCTAGAGCTTTTTCCTCAAGTTACCAGGGATAAATTCAGAGCAGAGGTTAGAATGAGGTGTCAGACCATAGAACTGTGATGCTTGGAGCGAATTGCGAAATCGGTTCTTCCTGGGAAATCTCACAGTGGTTCCTTGGATTAGAATTGATCTAAACCCGAATTTTCCACTGCAAAAGCAAGGTGTTTCTAGGCTTTTTGGCTATGGAGAGTGCACCATCTAATCCATAAGCCAGTACAGTTTGGCAGAGTTGTTGGAAGTCTGATTTCAGCCCTGTCCTTCACAATAGATTTAGGCTAACCTCCCAAATATGTCTGTTTAAAATGTCTACAGAACCTTTCCAATTTCCTTCCAGGTCTGTCATAACAACCTTTCCAATGCATTTCACTAATTTCCATCTTTGGCACACTGCAAACTGAAATTGCTGGAAGAGCCTAACACAAATTGAGTTTGGGTCCAAATAAATAACACATGGGCTCCAGCATCGCTTGTACTGTTCATTTTTGTGTTTTGTTAATAGAAAAGTTAACTCACTGGTTCTGCCAGGAGTTTCCAGCTTGCTCAGAAAGCAGATTCCAGGAATGCTGCCACCCAAGTTAGTTGCACAAGATTTTCTTTGTTAATTAAACATAATGGGATAAAACTGGAAAAAATAGCCTTAATGCTATTAGTTGGTATTTGTTGGCTAGAATATTGTTGTAGTGTATCTCAGTCCACCTTTTGTCTTGGATTTCCAGGCTGATTCCAGGTACATCCACACTAAAATTAGTAGTATTCAGTTCCAGCAAATGTTTTCAGTGTGAACTGGGGCCTCCCTTCATCGGCTCAGCAGGATAAGCTGGTAGTGCTGAGGAGTGAAGCTCGGTGTGTGAAATGGTTCCTTGAGCATTTGAAGGAGTTAAACATGCACAGATTGGATTTGTCTGTTGAGAAAATCTGTAAGGCAGAGAGGCAGAATCTCAAGCTGGGTTGTATCTTTGTATTAAAAAAATAAACAGCACTCCCCCCACTCGCTTAGATTTTTCCAGTTGAGACAAAAGAAATCTTTGGGTGGAAAGGCAGCATCATATTGCATAATAAAAGCCTTTTTATGCTCTAATAAAAAGGGTTGCTCAGGGCAGCTTGGTTTAAAAGAAAAAAAAAAAAAGAAGAGTCAGTGATGATCCTGGTGTGAGGGGGATGAGGAATCCCTAATTTCAGTTGTGTAACACTGGGAAAAGAGGTTGGAAATTGCTCTAGTTATCTGCTATCTTAATGCCTGGCTTAAAGGTTCTTTACTGCATATTTGCTGGCAGCTGTTTTCAATATATCCCTCTTGAACTAAGTCACCAGTTAAGAATTTGACATTAGCTCTTTTTTTTTCAACCACCATCTTGAAGTACCACACCACACAACACTGCCTTGTTCTCTCCTTAGATATTGTTCATGTGCCTTGAAATTGCTGTTGACACCTCAAGTATTTAACTTGCAGATCTGAGATAATTTTCCTTGGGTGTGGATGTGTGCCATAATAAGTCAGAGTCAGAAGTATCCGTGTCTGCATTCCTTCACTACATCTGTTCATTTTATTTTTTGCAACATTCCAGGAAATTAGGTTAAATTATACATATCAATGAATAGTTTTAAGTTCTGTTTTCATTGCCTTCCCTTTAAGTATGAACACACTGAGTGCACAAGTATCTTTCTCTTCTTTTGCATTACTTGCCTTTTTCTTTAGGACACCTTCAGTAGTAGATTTAACTGCTTGAATAACACACCTAAATACACATTTTTTATGTTCTCCTGATTTTCCACTCAATGGTTAAAGTTTCTTTACTGCTTCATATTCTGAAAGAGAAAAGTCACGTAATTAAAGAATGTTTTGGGAATTAGAGCTGTGCTCTGCATTGTATTTCTGGCATAAACCCTGTGTCCTTTTCCTCCCCTCGCATTCCCAGTCTGTAAAATAAAGCTAATATTCGTATACTGATCATTCTCACAGTCATTTCTGAGGCACAGGGTGTTGAAGTTTATAAAGTATTTCACTATATCACCATGGTTCATCAAAGCATTTCTGCTGATACAGTTTGAAATGCACAGCACCACAGGCAAAGAAGCCATAAGCACAGGGCATCCTCATCTGTGTTGCAGCTTTCATTCTGAGCAAAAAATAAAACAATGGAGTTAAAGAATTAGCGGGTTTTAATCACTGTTTCACTTGGAGGCACAGATGGGACAGAGCATTACTTGGCAACGTTTAATCCTGGAGCAGAAATGGTCATGATTAAAGCAGCAGCTGGAGTAGATTGCTAGGGACAGGGGGATTCATTCATCCTAAAGGGATCAAAATTGTTGGGCTCTGGGAGAAAACAAGAAGCTACAAAAGGAAAATCTGAAATATGGGCCAAGGTTTATTATCTGTAGGGTCTCATCTGCTAATTAAAATGATGTTTTCAATGCTTTCCTCAGAATTATTTTGGAAGGGAGGAGAGTATCAAGTGATCTGGCCTACTGAAGAGGAGCCTGAAGCCATCCCTGAGTGGAAATTTTGGACTTGGAGGAGGAAGGCTGAGTGTGTCCCCCCATGTGGCAGAACTGCTTCTCCTCACCAGGGAACTCCAGGTGAAGGACATAGGTATGTGCCTCTTCAGACTGCAGAAGAGTCATGTTCCAGGCCAGGTAACAGGGCCTGAACTCCCAGCTTGGTGAGGCAGCCCGGAACAAGGTGGATTTTAACTTTCTCTTTCTTAATATTTGTAGAAGGCTTTTGTCTCTGTATTTGAGTCCTTGTGTTTCAGGGGTTGGCTGTGGAGATGCAGAACAAAGCAGAACCTTCAGGTGTTGACTCCTGCAGTGCATTCCTGATTCTGCCACGGAACTTGTTGGAAGCCAGTTCCCTTTTGCCAAGGGACAATGTTAGACAGAAAAAAGGTGTCAAAATAAAGTGCTAGAATACCAACATGTGTTCTGCTGTCAGGACAGAGCCACGGTTTAGCCCACAAGTGAGGCATACCCTCTATTCTGAGTTGCTCTAGCTCAAAGGTAGCTCTGCTTTCAGTTAGATGTCTCAGAGGTATTGTTAATTTTTGATATTTCAGCTCATGAAATGCCAATGGGCTAGAGTTTCCATGACCAGTTCCTGGTTCCAGTGGGAGACTGACTGAAATGTAATCCCTATTGGTCACTGGCTTAATCTGTACTTAGGATGTGCTTGACATTGGCTCTTCGTGTTTCTCTCTTTGGGACACAGTGTTTTCCCCTGCCACTCGGAGGTCTTTCTCTGTTCCTTAGATCAGACAACTCTCTTTCCTCTCCTTGCATTTGCATGCATTCCACTGACAATATTTAGATGTGTGAGGATTTGGTTGCCTTTGTGTAGCAGGAAGTTGCCGAGTCCTCACTTGCCCCGTGCAAGGTGTTTTCTGCAGCAGGGAGAATAGGTGCTGATCTCACTCTGGGCATTTCACAACTCTGAAAACCTGCTGGCTAATGAGGTGTTCATTAATTGCTTTAAACGATCTAAGCGAAGAGATTTTTTTATTTCCTTTGAACCATATGTTTCCTCAATGGGCCTCTCTTTTTTTTTTTCTCTTTCCCTTAAAACTGATGAATTTCTGATTTCACCCTTTAATCCTTGTCAGCCTGTAAATATGGGAAGTGTATTTCACCATTGGCAGCTCTAAGAGTAAAGCGAACAGGTCTCAGGCATTTTTTGCCATCATCCTGTGACTTCCAGGCCTCCTTTTTGCCCCAGATGCTGTCTGAGGTATTTGACATGCATCCCTACAGTTGATCGATTTGCCTATAAACTTGTAAGTCACCATTCATCACCTTTCTGAGGCTTTGCCCCCTGGCATGCAAGTCGTTCTTAGGACCTTGATGACTCCCATTGTTGGGGGAACCGTTGGTAATCGAACCTGCTTCTTTTCTGTATTTCAAGCCATTGCTCTTAAATATCTCTTGCTTGACCCACCCAGGCGCTAATAACCGTGTCTCCTTCCCTTAGGTCAAGGGCAACTTTTACATTCCACCCAAAAGGCACCAGAGTTTGAGATGAGGAATTCAGAAGAGCAAGCAGCTACGACAGTTTTACAGCGCCTGCTGCAGGAGCAACTCCGATACGGAAACCCAAATGACAACCGTAACCTTCTTGCCTTACACCAGCAGGCCACAGGGAATGCCCCCCCTTTCAGCAGCACCGGGAGTCCAGCATCTCAGAACGAAGGGCTGAGCTCCCAGGACCACCAGCTTGTGACTCATGCTGCCCGTCAGGAGCCCCAGGGCCAGGAGATACAGGTGGACAACAGCATCATGGAGAAGCAGCTCTCCCCACGGCTCCAGAACAGCGAGGATCTCCCCACCTACGAGGAAGCCAAAGTCCAGTCCCAGTATTTCCGGGGTCAGCCGCACGCCAGCGTCGGGGCAGCCTTCTATGTAACGGGGGTCACCAACCAAAAGATGAGGACTGAGGGGCGGCCCACGGTCCAGCGGGTGAGCCCAGGGAAGGTCCACCAGGATGAAGGACTGAAGGACCTCAAGCAGGGGCACGTGCGCTCGCTGAGCGAGAGGTTGATGCAGCTGTCCTTGGCCACCAGCGGGGTCAAGGCCCACGCGCCCGTCACGAGCGCGCCGCTCTCCCCCCTCTCTCCGCTTTCTCCTCAGCAGTCCAGCGACCCGTATAAAAATTCTGGCTCCAATGAGTTCTACAAGAACTCAGTGCAGCCCCCTTCCCAGCCCAGCATGAAAGGAATGGAGCAGCGGGGTCCTCCTCCCGAGTATCCGTACAAAAATGTGTCCACCCCGTCTATGAACTGCAAACCTCAGGACTCGGGACATTTCTATAGTGACCATCGCATGAGCCAGCAGGGAAGATCTGATGGGCCTATGATGAGGTATCAGCACCCCCCTGAGTATGGGTCAGTCAGGTAAGCAAGATCTTAAATTCCGTGACAGCCACATAGGGAAAGGCAGCATAAAACTCAGTGCATTGCCCTCACTCCTGAAGCAGGTTTCCTTTCAGCAAAGATCCCATCTTTATTGTGGGAGATGACATATTGTGTTCATCCACAGGCTGACTGGAAGGACTGTTACTTGGTTCATTTGTTGACTAGAGAGGACTGACTATTTTTTATTAAAAAAAAAAACACCAAAAAAACCAACGAAGCAAACCCCCCCAAAAAAAAACCCTCAAAACCAGCCAGCTTGATTTTATGGCATGGGGAAGTTTAATGCTGAGGCTCCAGAGCCTTACAAAAGCTTTGCTACGAAAGCCAAAGTTATGGTGTGATTCATTGTGGAAACTTGCAGTTAGTTACTGTGAGACTTAATTATGTCTGTCCAGACAAAAGATTTTTTAAAAACTTCATCACATGGGAAAGGAGAAAGTGAATGAAAGTGATAAAGGTGCAGGTAACAGAAATCACCTGAGCTTCTTGTAGAGTTTTTCAAATTTTATCTTCAGTGGACTGAAGTGTAGGAGTGGAAAATGGAGTGTGCTTAGTACCTCATCCCAGACCTGCTTGTTTAGCTTTTGCTCATTTTCCTTGCCTCATTTGAAGTCTCAGCCTGTTCCGGTTTGCTCTAGATAAGGAGCTGGACTTGGCTTGAGTCAAACTGATGTCCATGTGGGGGAAGATGAATTTGATGAATTTTTTTAAGGTGGGCTTAAACCCCAGCTTTACTTTACCTGTTTCCATCCCATCCCATCTCTGTCCAAGACCAGGTGGGATTTGGTGTAATGATTTTGGCCTCATTTTGAAGCTAAAAGGCTAATACAAAGGAGCAACAGGATGGCATTGCTGCAATAAGTAAATGGTGAGGTCTCTGTGGGTTTGTGTTTGCAGATATTATGTTGTGTTCTGAGGGGAGCACGGTGAAGAAACCCGTCAGTATTTGGGAGCAGATTCTGAGCTTTGCGGAATTTGAATCTGCTCAGAATCTTCCTAGTCCTACGAGGAGCTATTTTCAGAGTTTGTCCACCATTGTTTGTGATCTGAAATGACTTCAGCAGCATACAAGCCTGATGAAAAGGCCCTTTGATCTGGCTAAATAAATAATAAAGAGGCCAGGAAAAGGGGAAGTAAAGGGTTTAGGGGGGGTAATGATTGTAGAAGCTTGTTGCAAATGTTTTTGAAAATTCAAAGGCCTCAAACCTCTGTCACACAGGACAGGGAAACAGATCCTCGATGGTTATGCTTCAGAAATCCTCCAAATATATATGCAGTGAAAGTGAGACTTAGCCTGCTTGCCGTTTAAGGGAGAGGTATTTGAAAACACGCCAATAGTCAGCTCCTCTAGACAGGGTGATTTTTGTCTGTATTGGATGGATCCTGGCTGCTTTGAAAGAACATGGTGGGGGGGAGCGGGGGGGAGGAGAAAGGTTCAGCTGGCAAGGTTTCCAGTAGGGGAAGCAACTGAAATTTGTCTTCAAAGCATTGGGAATCTAATGAGGTTACTTTTTAACCTAAATAGCTGCACAGAGAAGAGGTTTCCTTTGCAAGCAAATGCTGAAGTAGAACAATTGCAAGACTAATCCATAAATTACAGAGCAGCATAGCAAAGGAAGGGAACGAGTCCTCTATTCCCCTCCCTCTCCCACACGCTCTAAGAGAAACTTAGACAAGAAACCTTCTGTGTTACTAAAGGTGCAGCTGGCTGACGGTGTGGGGATTTTAAAGGCATACAGCTTTGGGGAGAGAGCTTGCCTGGCACGAGGGGTGCCTTTGCAGTCTTCAGTTTTCCTGTGCTGCAGCTCCGTGTTTATGGGGATTCATTTGGGTTGGTAAATGTGTGCGTTTTTTGAACTGCGCGTCAAGGAAACAAAGCCCCTTCTCTCTGCTCCCGAAGCCACACCCTTTGCTGCGGGTTTTTCCCCTCATTGTTCGGGGGAATTTGAGGGTGACCTAATGATGCAGTTAAATAAAACTCGTTGAGCAAGATAAACATTGGGGAATTCACAGCATTCTCATGCTTCACCCTCCCCAGTCTGGGAAAGGAATGGGCTGTGTGGTAAGTTTAAACCAGTCTGCAAACAGTTTGCCTCACCTGCTCCTGGGCGGTGTAAGTTTGGGAACAGTGTATGTTGGTGATGATGTTGGTTTAATGTAAATACCAGGCACGCTGGAGGCATGTGTGCTGTTATTTGGAAGTTTTCAGGAAGGTTCAGAAAGAGGGCTGGCTGCATGTGAAGCTCCAAAATCTTTCCTGTTCTTTCCCTGATATCTCCACCGCACTTTGGTGATGAAAACAAGCCTCCAGGCCTACCAGGGGAGGACGGGTGCCTTGGACTCGGTGTCCAGGGGCTTGCAAGGTCTCCTGTGAGAGCACAGCAAGAGCTGATGCAGTTTTGGGTGCAGAGGAAGTTCCTGTCTCTCCGATTCAAGTGCCATCCTCTGTTTGCAGCCCAAGCGACTGAGCTCCTGCTGTGGTGATTAATCCCATTGACTTCACAGAAAGTTTTTGAGAGGGAGGTCTGCAGAATTTGTCCCATAATTAGTAAATCACTTCTGTGCACTGCGTTCCCCTGAGCAGCATCAAAGTGGGGGCTAATCAGGTATGACTGGGAAGCAGAACAAAAATGTCTGGCTTTGATTTCGGCTGTGTAATGGAGTGGAGCCTGCTTCCTCCCGCAGTCAGCGCTTCCTGGTTTGTGCAGAAGGGCTGGGGAAGAGAGGGGAACTGGAGCTTCTTGAACACGAAACAGGCAGGAAAAATTTAACAAGCCCTGAGACCTTTCCCGAGCCCTTCATTTTTCTGCCTTCCCCACTGTGTTGCTCTACCCACAGATTTTCTGTGTGACTCCGCAGTCCTGGCTGCCTCAGCACTCCTGAGAGCCGGGTCTGCTTGCAGAGCTGCCTCACTCCCTATCTCTTCTTCATCACTTAAAAGCTGAGGTGACCCTTGTAGTTGCAGAACCATAAATCCAGGTTTGTACTTGGCCCATGTGGAGTGTTTCTCTGATACTCACCAGAGACTGTCAGGGAAGCAGAGATTCTTGCGTGATACAGTCTGCAAAGTGAAGTGGTGCTTAAAGTTGTGCTTTCAAACTTAAACACTTGTTGGAATTATTGCTCTGAGGTCTTTTTTCCTGCCTTTGGCTTTTTCAGGTCTCTGTGACACTGAGGCAAATGGAAGCAGATTGCATAATTTTGTGTTCCTTGTGTTTTGAGAGACTACATTTTTTTCTGAAGTGGTTAGTTCAGATAAACTTTTGATTACTAGTGGCAGGTTTACCCAAGGACTCATTCTGTCGTGAAGGGAATTTTCTACTTCCATTCTATCAGCAATACTGTTGGGTGACACCAGTAGTCATTTGAACCTTAAAATTCACAGTCTGGCCTGAAAATCTTGAGAAGTCCAGTTGTGTTCATGTACCTTTTCTGAATCTCTCAGCTCAAAGTTGCTTTACCAGAGGAACAAATTCTTCCATCCTCATGTTAATATGAAAGAATCTCACAGCCAGGTATTTTGTACCCACAAAATATATGTAAGTATTTTATAAGACAAAATTGTAAGTGGTGGGGATGCTAAAAAGTTCTTTGAATGTGTATGTAAAAGTTTACATGCAAGATCTTAAAAGGTCTACTGTCACTGTGAGGTTACTAGGATTTTTAAATACATTTTTTTAAAGGTAGGATGTATTACCCCAGCTGTGTTATCTCGTTCTGCTGGGAACATAAATGCATTTGTGACATTCAGAAGCCCTAATGCTGTTGGTGGTGCCACAGAATTAGAGGTTCCCAGCTCTCGTGTTTTAGCTTGAGCCCACAAGATCGCTGTAATTTCAAGATTATGGGAGGCTTTGGACGTGAGTGCCAAGATTCTGGATATCTTGGAAATATATCTTGTTTAGAAATACTCACCCTTGATTTCCTAGAGTTGTTCCTTTACAATAGGTGTTTGGTGTTTTTTTTTAAATCATTGCTAGGCATGTCAGCACCACTGTCCCTTCAGAATTTAAGTGCTGCTGTTGTTTTTCTTTGGTCGTCATTTTGTGCCTTTCATTAGTGCTCAGGATGGCAAGATTCTGCCACTGGGTTTCTGAGAACAGAATAACAGATGTTTCTAGTCAAATAGCTCAAATTGTTAACGTTGGCATCTAAATAGTCCTCCTTATGCTTGTAAGATTAACTCACTGAGGGCAGCAGAATCAGTCTCTCTGAGTAACTGCTTCGGGTTGGTTTCAGAATGGAAGAGAGTATTTTGTAGGTTGAAAATTGGGTTTTTGCATTCGTGAGGCATGCTGGCAACATAATTCTTTTGATCTAACCTCCATAGGTCTTCACAGATTAAATGTCACAGCAAGGCTATTCCCTAATTGATTATAACATCAAAGCAGAGCTGCCTGGTGATAGGTAAAGAATAAGCTCAAGGAGATGAGTGGTTTGTAAGGATGCAAAGTTTTAACTCTGCATACAAATGGGTGAGCGAAGAATGGAGCTGGAAACCACCTAAGACAAACCAGATGACCTTGAGCATGGCCTGCGATGGTTTTGCCTCATTCTTCATTATGAGAACTGACAAATAAAGTTGATGAAATCAATGCAGCAATAAGTAGAGCTGCCCTCCTGGGAGGGGAAGAACCAAATTGCTGCTACTAAACTGAACATTCCTGAGGAAATTAATTGCACATCACTCTTCTGCATGACCCCTGAAATCCTTATGCTGCATATGATAATTTCTGGGGAAATACAGCTCCTGAAATGATGTTGCTGGCAGGGACCACGGTCACCTGTGAGTGTGGGAAAGAGAGAAACAGAAGCCAGAGCAGTGATTCTTTGTTTTTTCCCAACTGACAAAGGCTAGATTTGTCTCCCTGTTAAGGAATTGTCGCGTGAGCTTGGAGGTTTCCATCCACCTTGTCTGCTGGGAAGCAGGGAAATGAGCCACGAGGTGCATGATACTGAAATGGTGAAGCCTGTGCTGGGCTGGGGATGTCTGAGCTGCCGTGCGCTGCCAGCCAGATGTGAGTAATGCCGGTAATGCCGGAGCTTCCTCTTGGCCGGGGATGAGGAGCGGATTCCTTCTTTCTGTGGAGAACAGGAAGGATGATGCTGAGTCTCTGCACTTGGGCTGAGAAGCCCGTTGTGTAACCCTTTAGTTCCCAGTTCATGCTCGCTGTTGTCAGTTCCTCTAAGGCTCCTGGTGTCTCTGGAGCTGCCAGGTCCCTGCAGGCTGTGTTGGGTCCCTCCCGGGAGCACAGGGTGCCCCGGGGATATTTTGTAGCAGCCATGGCCAGGTGGAACAACAGTGTGTGCTTTTCCAGCTGCAGGGTTGAACTGCATCCCAAAGGGTGGGAAATTTTATCAGAGCAGCAGGAGTGTTTCAGAATATGTTGAACTGCCAGACTGGGTCTGCACCAGGCTGAGCTCCGTGCTTAAGAAGAGACTGGCTGCAGCAAGGAGAGGGAGTGACTTCAACTGTTAGAATAAAGAACGTCCAGAGAAGTTAAAGGTTGAATGTCTTTGGAGGAGAATGCAAAACCTGCCTCCCGAGGTCATCCAAGCATGATAAATCTACACAGTCTCCTAAGAAAGATTTCTTACTTGGCTAAAGCAGCAGAAGTTGAACTGGGGATCTCCAGAGCCTGGGAAATGTGAGCTGGTGTAGCTTGGAGTTAGTTCTGTGATGGACTCAAGCATGTTATAGATTGCTAGATCTGTCTTTGATATCATGCAGAGGTTATTGTTAGGAACAGTAAACATACCCACTGCATGGGACTGAGGAGGGTTTGAAATCAAAAGGCTGCTTCTGATTCTTAGGTTGGTTTTCAGATCTTTTTAATTGTCTCACCTAACCAGGCTGCAGCTTCTTGGTTGATAGTTCAGAAGGCTCAAATCAGTACTGCTGGCATACTAGCATCAAGCTTAGCCAATCCTTTTAACTCTGTATCCTATATTGCAGAAAAAAATTCATTATTTTCTCATGAGAAATGGCACTTAAGGCCATAAGGGCAGAACAAAAGAGCCTATTTCTAACAGTCCTCAGTTGAGCAGTTTTATCTGCAAAGTGTGGTGAAAAGTTATGAAAATAATTTTGGTCAGTAGTTGTTGCTGGACTTTCTGTTAGTGTTTGTCTAAAATATAGTCTCAAGTCAAGGGGAAAGACCTTTGTGCACTTAGAGTATATTTTCTGATAAAGATTTTATTTTGAAACATTTTTAAAAACAAACATATAAAATTGAAGAAAACCTCACATGAGTCTTTTGTGTAAGAAGACCTGTGCACGGGAGCTACCTGGGTCATCCCACACCTTGTCACTGGGTTTTTGCACCTTCTGCACGACTGTAATGGAGCCTCTGCTCTCTGTTTTCCAGGCAGAACCCAGATGTGCCACTGCAGTTACAACAGAGACCACCTCATCACCACAGCCCGACGTCTTCCTTGACATCCCTGGGATCTTTGACTTTGCTTCAGTCTCCACCACCATCTAGGCTGTCCCCTTCCCAACATCAGCAACCTCTGACTCCAAGCCAGGCAGATCCTGGCATTCTGCCACGGACCCAGCAGCCTTTCTTGTCCAACCAAGTCCATCAGGGAGATTTGTACCGGCTATGCCAGCCCTTCCTTGGCCCGCAGCAGCAGCAGCAAGGCGACTCCTATTCGGTGATGCCCCGGGCTCAGCAGATCCCTTCCCCATACCAGCAGATGCAAGTAGATCCTTTTGCCATCGTTTCCAGGGCCCAGCAAATGGTGGAAATCCTGTCAGAAGAGAACCGGTCTCTGAGACAGGAGCTGGACGGGTGCTATGAGAAGGTAGCCCGGCTGCAGAAGGTGGGTGTTCTGGGTAAGAATTCAGGCACTCTCCCATGCCCGGTATAGTCCACAATTTAATCACCTAATCTGTAACTGTTACATTCCTTGCTTAACAAATTGATTAACTACTTCAGAGTCTTTCATATGCAGATTGATTGGTCTCTATCCTGTCCCTTTGGGCATCAGCTTAACTTTGTCAGAAGATAGAAGCAAAACCTTTGGTTTTCTGCTAACAGTTTATTGACCATACTCAAAAGCACATCCTCACCAGCTACTGAAGAGGTTGACTGCTTGGCTTGCTTGGTTAAATTAAGGCTTGTGTCCAGGATAGCAGCAGGTTTCATTTTCCCTAAAAGATTTTGGAGGCTGCAGGAAGGGCCTGTTTGGACTAGCACCAGACCATAGTCACTCGAGGAGGCACAGGGGACATTGCTACAAAACTGGTCGTCAGGACAGAGTGCAATGTAAGTAGTGCTGCTATGGCTACATTAAAGACATTTGGACTGCAGGACTGGGACTAAAACTTCTTTTGTCTCTGTCTCAATGCCACACAACTTCTCTGAAAACTTAATGTCTTGATTTGGACCCAGCTATTTGCCACCTTTGGCTTTATGAAACAGGCAGAGTATATGATGCTAAAACATTTAAAAGAAAATATCCCAGTGAGACCCATCATTAACGTGAGTGTGTGGAGGTATTTTCATGCTGCCTCATAGAAATAACTTCTTGATGACCAGTGGTTTAAAGCTATGCAGCAGGTCAGCTTTGCTTTTGCTTTGCAGCTGTGGAAAGGCTGATATTACTTCCAGTTTAGGACTTTGTGGGCCTTGCTGTGCTCTTTGCACTGACCAGTGTCCAGGGCCATAAAAATGTGTGACTGCTTGAAACACATGTTTGAGTTCAGGTGACCAGCATGGCTTTCCATGCTCATTATTTGCTATGGTACCTCTTTTCAGGAACATAAGTCTGTTTTATTGTATTTTTAGAGGGTTCCTGACAAGGAAATGCTTTAGAGAAGTGTTTGACAGCTTCCTGATAATGACAGAAGGATAAAAATGCACTTCTCTCCACCTCCCTGTTGATTACTTGGTGTAGACAGTGCTAGTGGGGTTTGCTGTAACATAAATCCACACTTCCATGGCAAACCATGCCTAGTGAGGAGAGTTAGAAGTGAATCTCCTTCTGCTCTGAATGATCAGAGAAACTTTACACTGAAGGCTAGAAAGAAGGATAGAACATATTCTACTGCAAAGTTTCCCTTGCCCCATTTATAATTTGCATATTTAAAAGCACAACTAAGTTGTAGGAGTGTAAACATAGAAGATCAGGAGATTTTATTGTGAATTTTGGACCATTACAACTATCTACAGAGTTCATCAGAATTGCAGAGTATGTCACTGGGGTTTTTTGACATAGTTTAATCTGCCTTTTTTTTTTTAATTTTACTTACCTGATATTGCATTAGCTATTTACATAAATGTTTTTTGCCCAAACTAACTGTAGTGTCAAACTGCCCCAGTCTTGGAAAAAAAATAGATTACATTTGCACTTCTTCAGTTTGCTATATCCATGTTCTCTTCATATTGGGGAACCAGAGTGAGAGTCTGGAAGGAGGGTCCAGAACTCTGTTTCAGACACTGATATTCTTTATACAGATGGATCCAGACCCGAGAGTGTTGTTTTGCTTAGTGTATAAGTGTAGGTTTCTCTCAATAAAGAACACTTGAGAGAAAGTAATCTCATCTGGGACCGAGTGAATATTGTTAGTGATAAAATAGTAAGTGCTTGTTTTCACTTCCACTGCAGCTGGAAACAGAAATTCAGCAAGTTTCAGAGGCGTACAAAAACCTGGAGAAATCATCCTCTAAGCGGGATGCCCTGGAAAAGGCCATGAGGAACAAACTGGAAGGAGAAATTCGAAGGCTTCATGATTTCAACAGGGATCTAAGAGGTAAATGAAGTAAAACTTCTGTTCATCAGTGTTGGTTTTTTTATTATACTTCCTCGGCAGGACAGCATTTTGCTGCAGAATTCACTGTGTCTGACACAACTGGAATATGATGGGATACTCAGGACTATTCAGTAGTTGCAGATTTGAAGCACTTGCTGGGAGAATTGAAAAAACAGGTTTAGGAGAGTGCTGTAGTCTTTCATTTCCAGCCTGTTTCTCATTGACAAGAAGCATGTGATAAGCCAAATACCATAAACCAGATGCAAGCCTGGAATTCTCTCATGTCTTATATCCTAAAGATAATTTGTACAATTTGTTCAGTTTACACAAATGGAAAGAGGTTTTGCTGACTGCCTAATCCCACACCGGGCGTGTTCACTTGATTTCCTGTCCAGTAACCCTTTTGCACTTACATACAAACTGCAGACTGTCTGTTCTTCCTGAAGGTCTTGTCATTCCTTATCAATGTAGGCATCTGGTTTTTTGAATCTCCCTTCCTTTTCCAGAGTGAGATGTTATTAGTGTCTGGCTCTTGCTGAGAGGCTGAAGCAGCATGATGGCTGGCAGGGGAGAGTGATGTTTGACCTTAACAGGAGTAAAAGTTTAAGCATTAGTCCAAAAGGGGAAGGTGAAAAACATCCACAATTTGAGGTGTTTAAAGGTGCACAGTCTTTTAAACTTAAGTTTAATTTTTTATGGAAGCCTTCTGATTGTCCTGCATGTCATCTGCTCTCACTGCTAAGAGAGAGTCTGTGTCTCTTGCTAAGAGCCTGCTCCCAGAAATTATTTTGCATCCAGGAAGTAAAGCCATGCAGTGCCCAGTGTCCTTGAGAAGGACAGTATGCAAACATCTGCATTAAATAATGTTATTCAGAGTGGAACACAGCATACACATTTCATTCTAATTTTTGTAGACTGATACATATTTCTAGCATCTTGAAGCAGCAGAGCTGTTGAGCTGTTCTTAGCATTTGACACTACTCCCTCAAGTCTGGTAATTGGACAACAGTGATTTAATCTTCTGTTAAGTTTTAGTGGATAATTATAAGACAATCTTTTAATTGTGTGGAAGAAGTAAAGGTATAAGTTGAAAAACCAAACTTCTTCTGTGTTATAATTGTTTAGAGGAATTTCTTTGGAACTTTATTTAATCTGTTTTGTCTCATTGAGCGTATTTCTTCAAGGACATAATTAGAAACATTTCAAAAGTGAGTGCCAGCTTCTGATGGGCATTTTACTTTAGACTGTGTAGAATTAGGAGATCCATTCCCCCAGCTTGCATTAGAAATGCCCTGAGCAGATGTAACTTAACGCTTGAAAGTTTTTATTTATTTAGTTTGCTTCTATTGAAAATTTTTGCAGAACGTATGGAGACAGCCAACAAGCAGCTTGCGGAGAAGGAGTTTGAGGGGTCTGAAGACAATCGGAAAACCATCTCTCAGCTCTTTGCACAAAGTGAGTTACACAGTCATAATGGGTCAGTGGAGAGCTCCAGCCATCCTGGGACAGAGGACAGTGCAGCAGATTAATTATCAGGACAGAAATCAGCTCAGTGACAGTCCAAAACTGGCAGTGGAGAAAGGAGGAGGGATTCAAGAATTCCTTTTCTGTCAGTATGTAAAGCCCATCTGATGGAATTTATTAGAGATTTCACAGCAAAGGGAGTTTACAGTTAAACTGTAAAATTAATGTTTACCCCATAATTTACAGGATATTTTATCCACCTATTTTATTCCTTGAAAGCTTTGGAATTAAACCTTCCCAGGATGACAGGAGTCCTGGCATGAGTCAAGGCCAGTTGCACTGGAGCCTGCTAGGTCTCCTGACTCTTTCCTCTTTTATTTGCCCCTGCCCTATCCTGTTCAGCAAAAATAAAGGGGATGAACACTCCTGCAGTCTGCTGGGCTGGATGAGGGTCAGGAATTCTGTCCACAGCAGTGGATTTATCACAAGGCAAACCAAAATGACGGATGTGAAATGCTGCTTTCCCTTTGTACTGAAATGTCTTGAGGCTGATGGTGACGAGCCAACTTTTCTGTCATCCCATGGTGTACTCCACCCTTCTGACAACGCTCACTTTTCTCCAATTGTTACATGAAAAGGTAGCACAATAAAATTGCAAAATAGAGTTTTTCTGTAATGCAACACACACTGCTGCTACTCTGACAAAAGCTGGTGTTCCTGTTTGCTTATTCCTTGTGGCTTATGTTGCAAACAAGTGGCTGTCAGGGGGTGAATTCCAAACTCCTGGTGGTAGGGGAAAGTCTGTGAGTTTAGTCTCTCCTTCAGACTGGTTGGGTGGACATTGAGCTTCATAGATGCCTCCAAAGAGATGGGAAGGTCAAAGCTGTGAGGCCTCCCATTCCATTTCTCCTTTTGGAGGAACATGGAAGCCATAGTGCTACGTTTCATCAGTCCCAGCATTTCTAGGAGTGCTGTAGGCAGTTCTCATTTGGGGAAAAATCTGCACCAAAACTCCAAAAGGCTCTCTGCAAGCACTTAGAGATTAAAAAATAGCCTGCTGGCACTGACTGATACCTGCTGGCATAATGCCACCCTGTCTCATTGCAGCTCAGTCTCTGCAGCACACTTTAATGTGCTCACGCTGTCAGCAACTCACTCCTGGGTGGAGGAGAAATGCTGGGAAAAAATGGATTAAAAAATAGACAGGTGATGTTAGCCTTTGTCCTTGTGTCTTGTGTCATGGGCTGGCTCTGAGCTGCAGTCAGGGTTTGCTCTGCAGAGTTCTGGGTGCTGGTGGTGGACAGGTTTGTTTTGCAACCTGTGTGTGGGCTGTGCCGATTCCCTAGCAGAAGGGAATCTTGAGCTTCTCCCTGTTGCTAAAGCTTTGCTCCTGGCTTTTTGCTGGCAGAAGAAAGGGAGTAATTGTGGTGCTGTAAATATAGTTCTGCACATGCTTGCACAAACGGGCCCGTATGCTCCATATGCAGTCTGTTCTAACACCCAGCACCTAGTTCCTGTTTTTCAAGCCTTCCACTCCTTGTCCTCATTCCTTTGTCGTGGGATATTGGTTTCTGGAATGCAGTTTCTCTGGTGTCATCAGTGCTGGGTGTAGATCACTCCAGGGAGTATTCTGTGGTTATGTATCCAGCAAGTGGGTTAATGTTATCATTGTTGCTGGTTGGCTTGAGCTGGGAATGACAACATACAGAGGACATCAGCTCTGCATTGTGGCTTTGCCTTACACCCGTGTGTGATAAGTTCTTCAGTCCACAATTATTTTTATCCTATTTATTTTTTTATGAAGGCAGTTGCCCTGTTCCTGAAACAGCACTGCTGCTTCAACTTGATCCAGCTCTTTCTGGAGAGCAGCAGAAAAGAATGAGCTGCTGTGCTTGGGGTGGCTTTAAAGCATCAGATGTGAACTCTCCGTGCTGGGCAAAAGGCTTTCTTAAACTGCAGGTCTGCTTTGAGCAGTGACCAAACAGATATATGTGCCTCAGTTCTGGCCCAGGGTGTCATTTTTAAGGGGAAGACTCAGGAGTTCTCATTGCTCACTTGTTTTCTGAGTCCTCTGATGGTACTGCCAGCAAAGTGGGACAGCTGAGGGTTCCTCTGAAAAGGGACAGTTGCCCTGGACAGAGCAGGGAAAAAAGGAGCACAAGTTTTTCAGGCACAGAAGTCTGCCATCTCTCTCCCCAGCCTGAGATATTACAATTACTCAGTTTGTTTTCCACCACTGAAAGCTCAGATGTGAAGAGGTGCCAAGTTTCACTAACCATCTGCATAATCACAGCAAATTACCTCACTGACTAACTGTACTAAGTGGTGCACCTTCTATTCCTTCTTACTGTCATTGTGGCACATTGTTACTTGAAGGTACCATGCTTGTTTTTCAGGGTTATAAGTCCTTCTCTTCCTTGAAAGCCATGTCCTTTTTTTCTGTCCCTAGCACTAGATTTGCATTCCCTCCTGTGAGAAGTTCCAGTACAATCTTTCCTTCCCCTCTGGAGTGAAATACTCCTGAAAGCTAGGCAGAGACAAGTGCTGTCCATTGGTAACTCTCTCTTTGTTTTCATAGACAAGGAAACCCAGCGGGAAAAAGAGAAACTGGAAATAGAACTGGCTGCTGCACGTTCCACCAACGAGGACCAACGACGGCACATCGAGATCCGAGACCAGGCCTTGAACAACGCTCAGGCCAAGGTGGTGAAACTGGAGGAGGAGGTGAGGATGCTGGGAGAGAGAAATTGGGGTAGCTTGAGTTCCAGTAAAAGTGACTGGGGGAATGAGTTTGTCTTGAGGAAGTTTTAAGGAAATCAGCTTTCTTCAAAGCTGTTTATATCTGCTTAGCTTTGTGTTGAATAGCTAAACTGCTGAACTGTGCACAGATAAGCCACAAAGCTGTATTTCCCTGGAAGTGCTTTTGTCTAAGCAGCCATATTTTGTTTTCTTTTTGTTTCAACTTGTAAAAGTGGGCTGGAACTGAGATCTCAGCCCTGGCAACCTCCTGAACTTGGCAGAAATTCAGATTTGGATGGACTTTCAAATAGTATCAGATGAATGCAGCTTGTCCCCTTGCCAGGTGTGGGGACAGTGCAGATCTCTGGATGTGCCCAGCATTTGTAATAAGCTGGGCACGACCTTAGTTGTTTTCTCTACCTTTCCTCCCAGGAGGGGATAATGCATTTTAGCTGCTTAGCTGGGCAGCTTTCACAGCAGCTGCTTTTGTAGCTTTGTCCCTGCCACTCATGGCTCTCACCTCGCTGCCCTTCTGCGTCACAGTGTCCGTCCTCTTTCCTCCTGCCTACTTCTTTCTTCTCAAAGGCCCCGTTTCCCACTCTCAGCCTCTGCTTCCTTTACTCCTACTCTTCCTCCTTGGAGAGTCTCAGGAGGAAATGTCATGACCAAGCACACTTCCTCACTGCTGATTTGTTCTCCCATTCTGCCCTCTCCCTGCCTACCAGCACTCAGCATCACCCTCAGCTGAGCACTGTTCCTCTATGCACCTGAATTTTGCTGCTTTCAGAGACATTCCTCAAACCCTCCCCTTGTCTGCTTCTACTTTTCTCTCTGTTCAGGATCCCATTGTGCCAAGAGAGGAGGAATGATCAAAGACAAGGGGAATATCCTCCTCTCCCAGGTACAGATGTAGCTGCTTTCTTAATTTTAGCTTGTTCTTCTCTGACTCTCTATTTGCCTCAATAGCCCTTTCCCTCTTGTGTCTCTTTACCTGGTGTCCTTAATTTTCGCCCCTTTCTTTAATCTCTTCAGCTTCATGGAAGCCTTTCCTCGATGTCTCCTCCTGGATCTGCTCTGCTCATCCAGGATGTTGTTGTAGGGTTACCTGCTGTCATAACCTTATTAGCCTGGCATGGCTGACTTGCACCTTGGTTACTCAGGGGACAGGGAGCATTAGGTTATAGGGTAATTTATTTACACGTGACGTGATTCTCTTTGGCTCTAGAACTATTCTGTCATTGATTCTGCAATGTATGGGAATTCTTTGGCTTTCATTCAAATTTCAGCACCTTATTACACTAAAAGTCTGTGTGTCACTAACTCCAAGTACACGGGACATCCTTGTGACTTCCCTGGAACTATTCACCTGCTTGGAGTCAATGTGTATAGAAGGTGCTGTGATCAGCTGCGCCAGCACTTGCCTGGGTTGAACCTCAATGCAGGCACTAATTTTGGCTCTCTCACAGTAAAGCTGAAGCAAAGTATTGCTGCCTAAGTAGATTGGTAAAATAGGGAAGTGACTCTGGGCTACATTGCACGATAGCTTAAAAAACACATGTCCACTAACACAGAGTGAAATACCCTCCATGAGGCTCGTGGTCATATGCATCCAACCTTTGCTCGAATCCCAGGGTGTGCAGGAAGTGCCACCCTTCCTGTTGCAGATAAATATGGAAGCATCTCAGCAAGGGAGCAGGAATTAACTCTCCGTTTCTCTAAAGGTGAGAGGGGAAAAAACGGGAAACAAAGGTTAAAGAGTCAATTTTGCAGGTTTCTCAAATCATTTTTTAATTAAATACTTAGGATTATAAAGCATTTGTTGCCTCATTAGTGTTAAATTGTGGAAAGTTCTCAAATCCCCAGGCTGTTTGGTAACCCTGGGAAAGGCAGCCAGACAAGCTGTTCAGAGCTCAGGGCAGCGTTTAGAGGGGACTGGAAACATCCTTCTGAGTGAGTGACATTCAGTGACCAGGAGATGGGCAATTTGTCGATTATTTCTTTTATTCCTGCCATCTGAATGCCTACTTAATCTAAATGACTGGTCCCTGTAATTGTCCCTGTGACTAGTCCAGCTGAGGAGGGTGGAGTTTCTTATGCTCAGGTTTGGCAGCTACTCTGGCTCAGGGCCTGAGGGGGGTGTGCACATTTCAGTTGTTGCATCCTGTAATGTAACTTTTCAGCTTTTTTGTTTTTCCCTTTCCGTTTTGACTTCCTATTAAGCAGAGTAACCCTACCTTGCATGCACCAGATTCTTTATAGGAAGAATATTTCTGTTCTAAGGAGAACTATAAGCCTTATATCACCGTAACAGTTTAAATGTTGCATTGGAATTGCAACTTTAGATTCTTTTAAAAATCTTTTGCTTGAATTGCCAGTTTGGGCAAAACCACCCATCTGCAAAATGTAGATACTTGTCTACTCCTATGGTGCTTTGAGGGTTTATATATATTGAATTTTAACATCCAACTTAGAGTGAAAGGAGAGATAAAGGGATGCTAAATGTGATGGAGAAAGGAATGATCTTGGAGATACTGAAGTATAGTATGAAGCAGTTGGAAGCAAAAGTAGACATTCACAGAATACTTTCCCTGTTTGTAGGGGTGAAATGGCTCTTCAAATTTAGAACAAGCTGCCATTAAAGTTTTTGAAAGTGTGGAGTTTATTTCTGCAAAGTGCAAAAAAGGGTGATTGATCATAAATATTTAAAGCAAACTTAAATATGTCTAAGAACAGAACTGCTACATATGTATGTTTTATATATAATATTTAAACTTTATACTTCTCTACTCTCCTTAAAGATACCCAGTTATTAACCCCCTATTTTCACTTCTGCATTTTCATTCTTCCCTTTAGTAGATATTCCACAGTTTTGCATAAATCATCAGCCTATTAAAATTGTTTCGAGTGAAGTATTAGTCTGTGGTTTTTAAAATCAAAACTTGAGATTATTTTCATTATGTGTAATACATTTGAGATAAATTGAACATATGTACATTGACTTAAAAACCTATATCACGGTCAGAAGTGGTTGGTGATAATAGCTGCAGCTAAAGCAATGGGAAATTCTCATTTTGGAGCATGGATTGCTGTGATGGTCTCAACTCTGATGGAAACATTGGAATGGCAGCAGGTTTGTGGCTGGTCACAGGTGGCCTGGATGTGTGAGCTTGTAAAATAGTCACGGTACTATGATTTAAACAGCATCTGCTTGCATACACCTTGAGAGCCTTCAGCAGGTGGAGCATTTAAACTTGGCTTTGCTCTGGGCCAGAGGCAGAATGGCTGTGTTTGCAGAAAGGACCATTCTGACCCACCCCAGACTGAGTAAATGCTGACTTATTGCCAGCCCTTACCAGGCTTGTAATGTTGCAGGAAGGACTTTGATGCCAAATACTTTATCTAACCACAACTGCGGGGTGCAGAGGGTACAATTGCTACTGGTTTTACTTTTTTTTTTTTTTAAAAAAAAAGGAATTTCCAGAGCTTTTCTTGAACTTGGTCATTTCTGCTTACCCTGGTTAAATTCATACCACGGAAAACCAAACTTCAGTTCAAAGAAAGTTTGTGGGTTTTGTTGCAGTAGTGTAGCTTGTACTCCTTTGCTCCACCACTTTACAAACCACTGTTTTACTGAGTGTCTTGAGACAGCTTTGAAAAATAGTGACTACCTCCAGGAAGATAAAAATATCTACTCTTTGCCATCTTCTTTCACACAACTTGCAGTGAAAAGAGGAGACTGATGTCCTCTCATGTGGGTGGAAATTGAGGGCTGACAGAGAGAACTAGTTTGAATGAAATATCTTTTCCAAAAATGCCTGTATTTATAAGGTCCTTCAGCCATCAGACTTCAACATAAATAGATATCAGGGCTAAGATACTGTATTCATTTTTCACTGTTCTATTGGTAGGAGAGAAATAACCTACTATTTCTGATAACACCAAGGGTTCTGTCTACAGGGAAATGTGAAAATGCATTTCCCAGTGACATCTACTGTACTTTATATGCTTTGTCTGAGATACTTTCAGAACAGAGCTCTGGCACAAGAGGAAACCCAAAGGAGAGCTGTGTGCTTGAAGGCTTGTCTATTTTTTTTCCAGTCACTTCTTGGTCTATAAAAATATATTCCTGGTCTCCATAGCTTTCTCTCACATAAATGCTTGGACTCTGAGAGCTACAAAATACTCTTTTCAGGACAGAGCTGCTTCTAAAGGGGACACTTTTTAGATGGCTTGTCCTTCCTGGATGGGTAGGGTGCAGAGGAGAGAAAACTCCCTCTCTCCCCTGTAACTGATATGTGTGTGTCTAATGACCTACATTCTTGTAACAGAACAGAACTGGCTTTTTACTGCTATGTCACTATCTCACATATTGTGCCAGTTAGTGATTTTCCAGAGGTGGCTTTGAGAGTTAGAACTTATTTTAGCACAAACAAACGGAGCGACGACATTATGACATTCCCATGCAGCAAACACTATTCCCTAGCAAGAGGATAGTGTTACCAAATTGTTTCAGCATGAGCTCTTGCTGAGGCCAGTGGTGTCTTGTTGGGCCTGAATTCAAACAAACCAAGGGTTCAAAGGCATCCTAGAGGAATATATTCCAACTGCATGAGGGAGAGGTGGTTTGAACGTGCTTGCTGTCTCATTTTTTAACTACATTTCTGCCATAGCAGGCAAATTCTTGTGGGGAAACACATTTTCAGCTGTGTGTGAATGGATTCAGCTTTAGGATAAACCCAGAATGTAATGAAAACACCCTGAATATATTAAACCAAGGACTTTGAAGACATCAGAAATAGTGGGTGGGAGACAAGCAGATGCTGACGAGTGTTACCAGTTGGCTGAAACAGGAGCTGTCCAAGATGAAGAAGGTAATGGCTGGGTTTGACAAAATGCCTGGGGGAGTTCTGAATCATTGATGGCTATGCAGGAAGTTTTCTCTTCTTCCCCAGAAAAAATGTTTGCTGAGTAATGCATCTGGAAGCAATGATCTCTACAAAAAGAGGATCCCTCCTTCCCCCTCACCTGCTGTGTCCAGGACTGTGTTTGTCCTGCACAGGCAGCTCCAGTTGGAAGATGTTACAGCCTCCCCTGGGACTTGACAGTGAAAATTCGTTGTTCCTGTGTACCCCTGCTCCCTGTGCATGAAACCTCTGGGCCCCCTTCCCAGCCTTCCTTCTGCAAGAACTTGGGATCCCTGAAAGACATTGTGTGGTTTGTCAAAGCCTAAGGAAATGGAGGAATAGGATTTGTTTGGCTTTCAGAATGTTAATCCCCTTTCTGCTGGACAGTTGTAATAATAATCAAGTACTCCTGTTTCTGAGAGGAAAACTTTATCCTTGGCCATTGGTTTTAGACCATGCAAGGAATGGGGAAATAAAATGAAGCCAGAAATACTTGATCAGGCAGCCAGGGAATCCTGGGATATTCCCTGCTTCACTTTGCACTTCATGTACTGGATTTCTGCAGAGCCCAAGCCACTCCTGGTCCTCTTTATTTTTCTTGTCCTTGGTCCTGTTGCAGAATTTACATAAGCTTTGTAGTAAATGGGAACTGGAGAGTGAATGCTCTTGTTTACATTGGTTTCATTAGAAAATATTATTGATAAAATTATAGCCCTGATATAACCTCTGATTCTTGGTTAGGACATTTTCCAAAGCAGTCAGGGATAGACCTGAAGAAGATAATGATATTAATAGAGTTGTGCTCTGTGCTGCAGGAAATGCTGGGAAGGGATACAGTCATGCTGAAGTGCTCTGCTGTGCTTCCAGACATGCACTGAGGTTATTTGAGATCTTACATCTTAAATAGCTGTTATAATAAAGATATCCTCATGAGCAAAATGCATTTTCAGAGCACCCTTTGAGGGAAAGCAGTTATGGTACATTACGTGAACATGAGTTTGCTTCTTAGTTAAATGTTGTACCATCAAAAGAGAAATTACTATCTTGTCAAATTTATTTAAAATGACATACTGAAGGGTGTGACTGAATCCTTGTAAAGCTTGGGGAATGAACTCTTACCTAGAGCACGTGTTCACTGCAAGGCCTGATGCAGAGGAGAGAATTCCAGCATCCTTTGATGCCATCTCTGCTGTGGTAGATGTTGTTGTGGCCCTTGGCACTGAGCCAAGGTTCTGTGATGGAAGAGAGAGGGTGGGGAATCCATGGCAAATGACCAAGAACAAGCCTCAGCATGCTGCCTTTTTTTCCTTCCTCCCAACTTACTTGTGTCTTCAGCACCCTGGCAATACTCAGGAAATTGTTTCCAATTCCTGTCTTAGGAAAACAAGATCATACTCTCAATTTATGGTAATGAAATCCCTCTGTGCTTGGGAAAATCGTTCCTGATCCCTTTTACTTTGAGAGGACAGATGAAGTCATAAAGATTAAGAAATAAAAAATATAAAAATTAGATTTCAGTTCTACCACTCCTGGAGAGTCCTGGTCCACAGAAGGGTAAATTGTTCTCACGAACACTTGCAGAGTGGCAGAGCTGGAAATGAAAGTGCCAGAACATGCAGTGAGTGTGTGAAATGAAACAATCCTAGAGATAAAGGATAATTCTGACAGATGACATTAGGAAAGCTGAGTTGTGTGGAGCACATCCATGCTTTTAAAGCTTATGGAACATCTGGGTTCCAAAAAACTGAAAATTACTTAAAGGAATTCCTGAATTAATTCTCGTTTTTAAGTTGTTAAAAAAATACACACATAAGCCCCAAATATTCTAACATTCCTAATTCTTCCTGATGCTGGAAGATGAGGTGTACCTTATGAAGGGGGAGAAAATGCTGTCTTTCTGCAAAGCCACTGAACAAGCTGTGCTTGTACGTTGGGTCTGGTGCCCAAGTCAGGCATGTGCAGGCAGTGCAGGAAGTTGGGCAACAGCTTGTGTTGCAACTCTCCACCTGCAGGTTTGGCTGATGGGAGCATTTTCAAAGTGAATGTTTCAGTGGAATTTCTGTGTCCTGGTTCTGCTTTCTGGCTGGTCTCTTGGTGTTCTTTGAATGCAGGCCAAAACGTTTATCCACCCATACCCATACTCAGGTTTGTTAATTTTGAAACCAGGATAATGTTGTCAGCGGCTGCTTTTGCAGGGAGGATTTTGCCTGTGTGTTAAAAAACTTTTCAGAAATTTGAATGCTTTGTAGTAGGTAATAAGAGACTAAATGTGCATCACCGCATCCTCAACTTTTTTATCCCCCTGTCCAGAAGAGAGGGGGAGGAGAGCTGATTTGCAAGATATTATTATTCAGCTTGATGCATACTATTTCACTGCTAGTGAGTTTATCAGGTTGTTCCTTGCTCTTGTCCAGGTCAAAATCCAAGATACTGGGTGCTCTCCATTTCTAGGTTCTGCTGCTAACCCCATAGTTTCTCTCTTTTGGCCACTTTGAGCTGCTGTTAATCTAAGTCTAATGTTGCTTGTTGCATTCCAAACAAGCTTGAAATCTTGAGCAATCGAATAAAAATACCTTTCTACTGTACATGCACTGGTGGGAAGTCCTTTGGCTGGATTGCTCACTGTTTATTGTAACTTTTATTGTAAAATACTTGTTGGGGGAAAATCCTCTAAGGCAGCAACATTCACGCTGTGAGATTAGATGCCTGCTGACTTTATGAAGAGAAGAAAAGGATACCATGTCTGGGATTAATAGTGTTTGGAGATTTTTCTCTCTCTGCTATTCACATTGCAATCTCTGCATTGCCTCGAGGAACGAAGAGTGAGAAAAGGGAAAAGTTTTGAAGAAACACATGATAAGACCTTTTTGGAACAAAGGTGCAATGTGAGAATGGCTCGTGTTGTTCAGATCAAAGTATCCTATGTCTGCTGAAACTTAGAGCAGATTCCTAGGGAGCATTATCAGAATGGGGCCAACAAGCAGTGATACTTTCCCAGAATACTTTCCACTTCCAAGAAGGACTTCCTGAGCCCAAAGTGGTGTCTTTTGTCTTTAATATCCCTCAGTGGACTTTTCTTCCATGAAGCTGTAGAGCAGCTCTTTGAACTCACATAAGGGAGTCTGTGTTTTGCATTCTCTAGACTTCAGCTCCGACTGTTGGGAAAAGTTGCCTGTTTCCTGCTGTTTTTGTATTTCAGGGTTTATGACAATCACAGCTACAAAAGCAGTATCCCAGATTTGCTGCAGAAGGCCAGCTAATTGCAATTGTTAGTCTTTTCCTTAATAGAAAGTAATGTCCATAGGTGTCCAGTATTCCCTGTATTAAAATAGAGCTGGCCCCCGAGTGTGTTTTTATTCTTTTTTTAGTTTATTCATATATTAGTTTGGGGTTTTTTTCTGCCTGAACTGTGTATTAACCTTGCTAATACAGTTATTGGGGGGGTCAGCATGGTAGTTTTTGTTGCTTATTGTGAGACAGCTTGGTTTGCAGGATGAATGATGGAGGAGGATGGAAGGGCAAGGCCAAGACCAGAGCAGGACTTGTCAGGTCACTCTGGGCCAAGATTATTCCAGGCTGCTGGAATAAACCTGGTTGCAGTATGGGGAGAGCACAGGACATGGCTGGTGTGTGCCTTCATCCTATTATTTTATTATTATGGGACTGGAATAGGATCCTACAAGTTTTGAATCAGTTTCTGCTTAATCTTGTAAAAATTAATATAACTGCCAGCAATTTTCAGTGTTGCACTGAAAGTGTTCCCAGACTGTGGACCTGCTCTAAACACTGTCTTTGCTGCAGTTACCTTGGAAACATATGTCAATTCACTCAAACAATATTATGAACCCAGGTGCCCTTTCTGGTCTGTTGCTGCTCTCAGATGTTTGCAACATGTATTTTCCTCAGTTTCCCCATCGTTACTATGGGGTTGTCGAGGACAAAAAGGACAAATATACCCATCAGGAAAGCAGAGATGGGACAGACCTCTAAAATCCTGAGGGCTGAGTCTAGAGCAGGAGTCTGAGGCTCACTGACATCAGTCATAGAATCATAGAGTCAGGGAATGGTTTGGATTGGAAGGGACCTTAAAAACCATCCCATTCTACCCAACCCTGCCATGGGCAGGGACACCTCCCACTAGCCCAGGTTGCTCCAAGCCCTGTCCAACCTGGCCTTGGACACTTCCAGGGATGGGGCAGCCAGAGCTTCTCTGGGCAACCTGTGCCAGGGCCTCCCCACCCTCACAGGGAACAATTTCTTCCCAATATCCCAACTAACCCTGCCCTCTGTCAGTATGAAGTTCTTCCCTTTTGTCCTGTCACTCCAGGCCCTTGTAAACAGTCTTTTTCCATCTTTCTTGTAGGCTCACTTCAGGTGCTGCAGGTCATCTGGACATCCTCCTGGCTGCTGTGCAAAGCCACAAGTTCACTCACTCATTCTCATTATTTAGTTTATGTCGCATTTTCTTCCTTTATTTCAGCTCAAAAAGAAGCAGGTCTATGTAGAGAAGGTGGAGAAGATGCAGCAGGCCTTGGTTCAGCTGCAGGCAGCGTGTGAGAAGCGGGAGCAGCTGGAACACAGGCTGAGGACACGGTTGGAGAGAGAACTGGAATCTCTGCGGATGCAGCAGGTACCCCTGTTCCCCTGGGGTTCTTGTAGAATTGCACACCACACCCCACACCACACAGAACAGAAGGGCAGTGGGGTTTTTGTCATCTTGTGTTATTAATGGATGTTTCTTTTGCTAGCAAATCCATGACTCTAGCTGACTGTTGTATCGTTTTTACCTGATTTTCTATTTTAATCAGAAAATTTAGGTAAGCAGCAACAGGGGGTACATCCTGTGCCGGGGTGCAGACACAGCCATATAGCTTAGATGCTGTTTTATCTTTAAGTATCCTGGTTATATTTGCTTTGAAGTTATTTTTAGTATCTTGTTCACAGTTTGGGATTTTATATAAAATTCATTAACAACTGGTCTGAAGAGAGGCCCTTCAAAAAACTTCTGCATTTAAAAGAACCCACACAAGACTGAAGCAGCAAAACCAATTCTATATATGCAGTTGATGGAAATGTAGACTATATTCTTGAGTGTAATGTGAGTCTTTTTCAGTGGAAAGAATGAATGAGGAGTACATTGTGCAGGGGTGTTATGAATTGGATGTGAAGTTTTACTTCAACCTATATCAAACACAGGTGAACTGTAAATTTTACTAGAAATAGGATGCAGGCCTGTGTTCTAAATCACATCTATTTTCAGGTTATTTGTATCCCCCAACTTTCACCTCTGCATACGAATGGATATTTAAATCTTTTGTATTGGTTTTAGTAGGAGTTACAGTAATTTGATAAACTTTTCTGTGCTACCTTTGGAAGATTAAGTACTCTAAACAACTTTTTGCATTGAGCCTGAGTAAACACAATAAACTGCTTTCTTGTCATGGTTAAAAATTCTGAGCTGAGCATAAAAAAGCTTGTCCACCCAACTTCTTTTCTTTTGAATTTTTAAAAAACTTTTTTGAAGTCAAATATCCTGCTAATCCCAGATTATCCATTGAACTATTAGCTCAGCAAATCTCCACTCTTGTTTTGAAAGGGAACGCTGCCTGTCTTCCAAATGTTGCTTTAGAAATGAATTATTTTAATCCCCAGCTACTTAATCCCCAGGTATACACTGATAATTTTAATTTAATGACCAAATCCTTTAACAATATTTTTGATGTATTTTTTAAAAGGGGTGATAGCTCTTGTATACTAGTTAGTGTTTTGCTAAACACTGTTGGAAGTAGGTCGATGTTACTTTAGGCATCATGGATGGGCTGTACACATCACACCTGAATAGTGTAATCTAGCTCTGGGATGCATATTTTGGGCTTTGCACGTGGGAAAAGGCCTTAGGAGTATTTTGCATCTCAGACATTTGCTTATTAGTCTGCCCAACATTGCACAGACAACTGCATTTCACTCGGGGGCTTCTTGTGTCAGAGCAGTGCTGCTCTGGAGCAGCCTCTGCCCTTCAAACAAAAAGCAGACCAACCAACCCTGATTCTTACAGATGCATCCTGAGACTTCTATTTTTGGTTTTGTTTTTTTTTTTTTCTCTTGGGAATCAGCGTCAGGGCACATCTCAGGCTGCCAACGTCTCCGAGTACAACGCCACGGCGCTCATGGAGCTCCTGCGGGAGAAGGAAGAAAGGATTCTTGCTCTGGAAGCTGACATGACCAAGTGGGAACAGAAATACCTGGAGGAAAGTGTGATGAGACAGTTTGCTTTGGATGCAGCTGCAACTGTGGCTGCTCAGAGGTAAATGAGACTTTTCATAGTACTGGGATTGTTTTCTTTCTCCAGTTGAATGTCATATTTCCCACCAAGGAATGTTGTCATACCACCCTCCCATGATCGCTTGCCTTGTGTTCTGAACGGCTCCTCAGACTTCTTCATGGAAGTGGAGCTTGGCTGCTTTTTCTGGGAGCTGTGGAATTGCCAGCAATTAGAAACATTTTTCCAGAGGAAGATTCCTTCACGTGCAGGAGCCATTTTCCGGACTAGAATTGTTCTGAGCCATTCTTAGAAGCTGTTGATTCAAAAATAGGTGTATGAGAAAGGGTTTGGTTTTTTATTTTTAAAGCAGGAATCAGTCCTTTCTGAAGTCATGTGAGATGGGGTGAGCTTGGTGATTCACATCACTCACCCTGAATGGCTTCCTTGTTCTCCAGAATGTTTTTGCAAATTACTTTGTGGTATTGTCCTCAACATGGTTACTAACCAGAAACATCTACTAGGAAATTCTGCTCCAAACATTCTGCTGTGTATGGAGAGCGCTGCTTGTGGGGGTGGGAAGGGTGTCTGAAATTTGGTAACAAGTTCACATTCCAAGACAACTGTACAGAAACACTTATTATGGCTGTAAATAGGCCTGAGTGCTTCAGCTGGTTGGTGAACAGGAGTATTGGAGTGCAGCTCCTTAGCGTTAGGTATTGTGTACATGTAATTTCACTGCTCTCTGGTTTATGGTTCTTGATGGCAGATTTTATTGTGGATTGTTTCATGAGCCAAATCCAGATAGGGCTGTTATCACTGCTGGCTTTCCAGCTTGTAAGATCATACTGGAATTACAGGGGTAAAGTTGCAGAGCTGCTGTGTTAGCGTTTAAAGACTTATCTTATCTTGCTCCAGAAGCAAGCTGTTATTTCAGCATATTGATGCTTCTTGTGCACTGTTTTCTGCCTCCCTAGAGATTCCCTAAAGGCTTTTGCTGCTGCTTGTCCTTAGAGACCATGTTATATTTTCAGCATGGGCTGATAAGTAGGGGCCTGGTCTATTGTTTATCGGGGAATGAGAGGGCATGTGTTGCTGGTCAGCTTTTGTTAAATGAACCAAAATGCTGTCCAGTCAGGAAAGAGCCAGCCTCTGCTTTTCCATTTCCATCTTGCTGCTGGGAGAGCTTCCACTAATTTCAGGGGCAACCTCATCTATGCTGTGTACAGATTTCTTTCCCTTTTCTTTCATAGTGGGAACTAGCATCCTGAGGTTGCAGGAAGGATGCTTTAAAGCACAGGCAGGAATCTGGGTCACGTTGGGTTTATTTGGTAAATGACCTTCTCATGCCCTTCACATTCACAAGTAGAATGAAATACTCACTATGATTTGGTTAGTGGACTGAACAACTATCACAGTGTTAACATCAGGCACTGGACAGAGTGAGCCTGAAACTGTTTTCAGCCCATTTCAAGTGTTTGGACCAAGCTGCTTAGGACTGCTTAAGAAACTTCCATGCCTTGTTCCCTTTGATATTCACATTCTCTGTATGATACTGTTGGAAGGGGAAGGGAAAAAGCTTTATATCTGCAGTGAAGTTTGTGCTATTTCAATTGAAGAAAAACACCTGGTGTTCTATATCCTTCCCTTTCCCCATGTCCTTGGATTTGCCTCATTGATCCCTTTACAGTAGTGCAGTTAATCTACATTAGATTATAGACTGGCCTGAGATGGACAGGATATTGTTGTAATGACTTGCATGTTTTTATAATCTAATCTTCATTAGGACACTAATGAAGTTGGGAGTTGGATTTTTGGAAGACACTGAGCCAGCTTCAACTCATAAAAAGTGCATATTCCTGTTTGTTACTTTTGAGCAACAATTTTGTGCTGCTAGGAGGAAAGCAGCAAACATGTCAGGTCCTTGATCTGCTGTACTGCTTGTTCTCAGGGATACGACAGTGATCAGCCACTCGCCCAACCCCAGCTATGACACCTCACTGGAAGCTCGCATCCAGAAGGAGGAGGAGGAGATCCTGCTTGCCAACAGGAGATGTCTTGACATGGAGGGAAGGTAAAGTGCAGTTTGGCCCTATCTGGCTTCCTTGGGACAGGGATTTTACATTAATTGTCTGGGTAGACACTTCAGAACCAGCAATTCTTGTATCTTCACCAACAGCAACAATGTAGGATGACACACACTCATCTGGCCAAGGAAGTATCTGCATAGCAATCCAAAATCTGTCTTGATACTGAGGGCTAATGCAAAAAAGTCTTGTCTTAGATTTTTTTTGCATCTAGCTTGTTCCTCTTCTCTCTTCAGGGACCCCAGGCTCCACCACCTCTTAACAGTCTCACAGAACTGCTTTCCCTGGAGTTAGGTCCAGTGCAGACTCCCCAGAGTGTGTCAATAATCCTCTTCTTTCTGTTGGTCTCATGTCCTGGCCATAACTCTCAGCTTTGTCTCAAAGCCACTTCCATGGCTGTTTAGAGCAGCTTCCAGGAGCCAAAGGTGGGTGGGTGTCTCAGTGCATTCTCTTGTGCATAATTTGCTCTGTGGGCCAGTGAGCAGCCAGTGTCCAGGACAACAATCTCACTGCCATCCTCTCTCCCACCTCCCAAAATGCCTAAGAGGGTCCTAGTCACAGCCATGGGGACACTGAGGCCTCAGTCCAAGGAGACAGGAGACTCGTAAAATTGTTCATTTTACTTCCCAAAAAGGATTAAGACTCTCCATGCTCAGATCATTGAGAAGGATGCCATGATCAAAGTCCTGCAGCAGCGCTCCCGGAAGGAGCCTGGCAAGACAGACCAGCTCAGCTCCATGAGACCTGCCAAGTCCCTCATGTCCATCTCCAACGCTGGCTCGGGCTTGCTGTCCCACTCCTCAACGCTGAGCAGCACTCCCATCCTGGAGGAGAAGAGGGAGGACAAGAGCTGGAAAGGCAGCCTGGGTAATTTTTAAGTACCAGTGGCAATTCAGATACGCAGGTCACTGCTTAGAGGGGAGGAGGAGCAGCAGAGGAAGGTGTGTTAGACAGACAGACTAGCTGGCCTGGCATGTAGTAAAACTGACTGCAAGCAAGATGGGACACATTTGGAATAGCTGCTTGTTTTAATCACTTTTGGGAAACAGTGACTTCTGATGTCCAGGCTCTCTCATTAAAATGTGTGATCTTTATTCCCAATTTGGTACCTGACATTAGGGATGTTTGGGATACAGTTTTCAGAGTTCTCAAGCACTTGCTTTTGGTTGGGTGTTATGGCTGGCTGGAGGTGTAAAGTCTCTTTGAATAGGAGCAGAGATGCTAATCAGGATTACTATCCTGTAGTGCTGTGCCTGCATTAACATGACTCCTGTCTGGAATGGCTCAACAGCATTGTTTTGAGAAATGGAGTTGTAACAAAGCAAATCCTAGATGATTTTTTTTTTTCAGGGAGGAAGTTAGGCCCAAAGGCCTCCCTCTGAGAGTAAAAGACCCTGAAATGTGAATGAGACCCTGTTGCAGGTGATTTCAGTGTGCAGTTTTACCCTGCCAAAGTTGGGCCAGTGCCTAGAGCCAGGTAACTCTTAGTGCCCACCTGCAAGCAGCAACACGAGGATGCTGCTGTTCCTCAGGTACTTCAGCACCCAGTGGTGAAAGGTGCTGTGGAAAGGTAAATTAGTGCTGTCTCCTGAAGCATGGAGCACTTTTGAGATCCTAGAGCAAGTACTGCAGAGGGGCACAGGAGCTGATGCCAGTTAGTTTTCTGTGATTGTGACATTTCCTTCCCTTTTTCCATGAAGGTGTTCTGCTGGGAACAGAATATCGCTCCGAATCCATTCCCTCCACCCCCTCTCCCGTCCTTCCTTCCACACCACTGCTGTCAGCCCACTCAAAAACAGGCAGCAGAGACTGCAGCACCCAGACAGACCGGGGAAGTGAACAGAGCAAAGCTGCACCTTCCCCTGCAGCTCCTACCCCAGGACGACTCCCCAGCACCAGCTTGACCTACAGTGCAGAGAAAACAGGTAACAGGGCTCAGCTGCTGTCCCAGGGGGTCCCTGCTGCCCACTCACCATCAGTGCTGCTCTGTGGGGCGGGCCCTGATGTCCCTTTTTCAATTCAGGCAAACTGGGGCTCGTTTTTGTGAGGGCAGGTGGGTTTTGGAGGCAAGCACGGCGGTGTTCTGAGAGGTCTCAAATGCTCTGAAGGAAAAATAGCTTTAAGAGTGCTAGTGTAAGCATGGACACACTGGTTAGAGAGGTGCAGTGAGATTTGAGAATTGGAACAGGGAGATGCAAATCCCAGGACAGTCTCTGAGTCAGTGCTGACTCTGAAGTAAGTGTGAGCAGCCTGTGAGGTTTAACAGCATATGAAAACGGGCTGTTGAAAGTGGCCATTGCACTGAGTGGGTTTTCAAAGACAAGTGGACTCAGAAAAGAGGAGGAAGAAGAAGGAAAGGGAACTATCATGATGAAACTGTCTAGTTCACTGTCCTGGTCGCAGGACCAGCCTCAGCCTTGGCACAAGCAGATCCAGTTGACAGTGACTGTCACAGAAGCTGAATTTGCTTCCCACAGAGCTCTGAGCTGGCAAGAGCTGCTCATTTTCCAGCCCACTCTGCCAAATCAATGTGGATTACACAACCTTGCCTCTTCTCCTTACAGACACATTACAATGATGTTGTTCTTTATGGAAGAGTGCATTTGGCTGGGCTGCTGTGCATCGTGCCCCTGCTATGCTATTTAATGGGTATCGAGGGAGATGAGGGCAGGTTTGGTGGTGAAAGTCTATGCTGACTACATTGGTTTAAATGCAGTCACTCCAGTTTTATGTGGATTTGTGTATCGGTGGGAGGCACCCAAAGGGAATTTGATAAAATATCTTTATTTGTCTGGCTACATACATAGAGAATTGAATTTTTAAAAATGAAATAAGTTATTAGCTGTCTTTGGCCAATGATAGAAAATTACTTTTAAAATGTTAATGTCATATTTCTAAGCTCATTGAAATTACAACTTTCTTGTTATAATTGTCTTGTCTGTCTCTTGTTTTTCCTCATCACATAGATGGGCCACTCTTCCACTCCAGCACTCTTGAAAGAAAAGCCCCTGTTCAGACCATGGGGCAGGACCTTCCAGATGGAGAGATGGTAGAATACCTCATCTGAAAGCCTGTACCAAGATCTGAGCTGGATAACAGTAGCAAGAAATTTTAAAAGACATTTTTATTGGGAAAAAAATGTAGTACCTGCGTAATAAAAGAACGGTCATCTGTTTGCTCTTGTATATTATGTCTCAAAAGTATGGACAGGTTAATTTATAATTTGTTCTAAATTATAAAAAACCCATAACACTTTTTCTTTGAAAGTTTCCCCCTTTATTTTTTAAATACCGTATCTGATAATATCTGGAGGAAAAAACCCCTAGAACTTAGGTGTGCTACATCTGAAATTTCATTTCAGTATTTTTAAAGTCTCTTAAACAAAAGTACCTGCTCTCACAGGTGTTGGTTACATGTCCAGCTTAAATGCAGTAAGGTGAGCTTAATGGCCTTATAGTGATTAGAACCAGGGACTTTGTTGTGAGCATCACTTAATGGTTTTAGAAAACAGGTGTTCTGAGAAGCTTTTATAAATCTGGGCTGGGATCAAGGGAGATTCCCTTTCACTTCCTGTTTCCTCTCAGTGTAAGAACTCAGAATAGGTATTTCATATTCATAGGCTGAAAAGATTTCCATTTTCAGTGTGGTAACTTTTTTTTTTTACTTCCCAAATTTCTTTCTTTATTATTTCTTTGTTAAAAAAAATTACTCCGGTGATTAATGTTGCATTTCACATTTTTAGTTTCATTGCAAGATTTGCCACACTTTTATACTTAAGTACTTTTTCAGTAATTTATACAGTGGATAGTAAATAATATATTGCATTCATGTTTTACATAAATTAAAAGAGGAGAGTTTACAGGCCTGGTCCTGATCTGTTAGATCAGATTTCTGTCATTGTAATTCCATTGGCTTTGGTGGAACTACTCCAAATTTACCATAGTGCAAGTGGGAAGACCTGTTGCTTTTCATTATTAGCAACTTAACCTACTACATCTGTGGAGATGTTTCTCTGGAGCAGATTTTTCTATTTCTCAAGTACCCCTCTACTTTGTATGTCCCTCCTGTTTGGAGAGGCTGGATTCTTTGTCATATAGCAAAGCCTCAGAGGTAGAGCTTTAAAGAGAAACTCTGTGTAGAGGTTCAGATGGAAGGTTCTTTCCTTCCAAAGTACTTTTTTAGTTCATCTAACTGGAGAGAGTGGCTTAAAGTCCCAGGGGCATCACAGAAGAAAGTTACACATTTAAGTCATGAGATTCACTTCCAGATTTTTGGGAACTAGCACAGCAGTGCTTTGGTTACAGACACTATAAGGAGATATTAAGACCAATAGAAGTACATGAGTATTTTTTTGTTACTGTCTTTGCATTTTATTAAAACACTTCAATATTAATTTCTATTAAAAACTATTCTTTTTGTACTTGAATGTTAAAATATTTCCTTAGCCAGTGCTCACATGGGGAGCCTGGCTAGTTTCAGCTTTCTATGCAGCATTAGAGTAGCCAGATTTTCGTTTCTGATCATTTCACCTCAGAAATAAGGAAATCCAGCAATTAATCATCAAACAGTTAGTGAATGTCTTTAATTCTTCCTTAGTTGACATTACTGCTGTGATGTTCAATTGAAATGGCCTTAATCAGATCAACAGATACCACTTGAGTTTCACAGTGGAGGTTTGGGAGGGGAAAGGAGGTGCCTTCTGCCTGCTGCACAAGGGACTTGGTGGTGCCTAAAGGTCAGCTGCAAGGAAAACACTTCCCATAATTTCTAGCAGATTTGCTCCTTGTTAGTGTTCTTCAGGCCATATCCCCAGTCCCACAGAAGCCAGAGATGGCCAAGTGTATAAGGTAAGAGATGCACTAAGTGTGTGTGCCTTTAGCAGTCACTGCTCTACCAGGCAGCACAAACCCCCTTCCAGCACCACTTCAGACATTTCAGAGCTGCCCTTCAAGGCTTTGACTGTCTGTGCCACATGGGACAACATCTCTCTGGACAGTGACAGACCTTCTTTCCCTCTGAATCAGTTCTCCTCTTTGCAGGCAAACTTTGTAGAGTTTGCCTTTTTGTAGGCAAACTGTCCACAGCCTCTTCCTTCTCATCCCTGAGAATGTCTTACATTTATTTCTCTTGGCTTAATCCCATCTCATTATATGAAGTTATGTCCACCCTGGATGATTTGAAGTGATTTCTCTTCCTCCTCCACAGTTGCTGGAAATGCAGGAGGTTTGCTCATTAGCTCAAGGTGTCCCATCTTTTTGCCATTGCAGCATAAATATCTATATTATATTTTGTGGGTTTGGCTTAGAATGAACAACAAGGGAGATAAAATGCCATTGAGTTTCTGTCTCAGAGCAGGTTTGAGTGCTTTTCTGTTCTTTTAAAGTCAGGGAAAATTATATTCCATCTTTACAAATACTTCTCTGCAGTGTGAAAGAAGAAGTTTCACAACTGTAGGGCTCTAGATAAAAGGTTCCAACTCACTTGATTCACATTAATTCTAAAACATCTGGGGAAATTTGGATCCTTTACAGGTAAAATCTCTTAGAAAACTGATTTTCCCCAATCAATATTGTCTCCTTAGGTAAATGTAATTGGTTTATCCTCGTTGCAGCTCATTGTTTTCAGAGTGCCACTGTGATTTATTTTTACAAATAAAAAACCTGACATCATAGCTTTCTGTGAATAAAATGCAGATGATGGACAGCAACTGTCTCCTCCAAAAATGGAAGCCAAACCATCAGGATTGCAGGAGCCTTGGCAAGAGCCTGTGGAAGTAATTTTGGAAGAAAATGGTGCAGGTTTACGACGTTTAGGTCAGGTTCTTTGCCCTATTTTGTAGTTTTTATTTCTTTCAAAAGCAAAACCCCGAAAACTCTTTGATGTGGAAGCTGGAGGTCATTTTCCTGTGCTGACAAACTAGGAGCCATCAGGAATGTATTCTGTCCCTCGAGCTTCCTCCGAGCCATCCTGATCTGAATGTAAACGAGCCGCTTGCTTTGAGGAAGATGTGTACAGATCTTCATTGTGTTTTTAAACAGAAACTGCTTTAAGGAGACAAACTGCACACCTAGTTCCTTTGCCTTCTGTAGAGCTTATTTCTAGTAGAAAGTGATTTTTAACAATGATTGCAATGACCTTTGCAAACCAAAATTTTAGACTAAGAGTTTTTCTTAAACTCGGGTATTAGAAGCAGAATTGTAGCTTTTTATAAAGAAAGCCACATATTCTTCTTTGTAGAGCAAAACAAGAAAATTAAGTTTAGTTATGTTTCCTCTTTCCTTTCACTGCTTACAGAGCAGCTAAACTCTCAAGTCCTTCCCTTGGGCAGTTCCTTTGGGATTTGGCGGCTCGGGAAACTGCCTGAGATCCAGAGGCTTTTGTTCCCACCTGGCCCAGTGTTGTTATTAACTTACATAGCTCCTGCCTGGCAGCTCCTGGCGGGGTCTAGAGCAGCAATTCTGTGTCTGAGGACTCAAGGGGTTGTGTGAGTTGCTTCTCAGGAGTCTGCACAGGGGACTGAGCTCAGCATGTCTTATGGGGCGAAATTCTGTGCATGTGACCTCTGCTGCTGCCGTCTGCAGCAGCTTTGCTGTAAAGAAGCTTTGCTTTGTTTTGAGACTGCCTGAGTGAGGGGACTTGCAGAGGTTTAGGCCAGACCCATTTCCATGGGCAGCTCCTGCTCCAGGATCCCACAGCGGTGAGCAGTGGGATGTGTGACACCCACACAGTGAATCCTGGCAGCTGGGCCAGACTGAGGGCTCTTCCCACAGTCAGGGTGGGCAAAACCCTGGGGGTGTTTGTGTCCCTCCCTAGGGCTGGCACAGGTTATCCTGGGATTCACCCTGGGGGTGTTTGTGTCCCTCCCTAGGGCTGGCACAGGTTATCCTGGGATTCACTGCTGGTGGGTTTGCTCCATGCCAGGGGCGGGCGGACAGGGGGCTGTGGGGAGAGGGGGATCTCTTTTCATGTATTTGTATAGGAACTCTTTTGTAAAAGCTAGTGGTTTTATGTCTAGGAAGTAAAAAAAAAAAAAATTGTAAAATGTAATTGTACTGTATTTATGAAGAAAATACATTTCTTTTCAAAAAGATCTTATTCTAAGTTGATTCTAGAGTCTGGCTTCCACCAATATCATCTCATAGGCTTTCAGAAGCATTGAAACCCAACTGGTTTGCATTGTGCTGTCTGACTGTAGCTTTAGGGGTGTGCTAAACCATGGAGATATAAGGAAAAGATGACCAGCTGCCCTCCTGACTTGAGCAGAACCCATGTTGTCTCAAGTTCTGAAGTGTTGGAACACTTGGTTGGTTCAGCTTGGGCTGTGCTCAGGCTCAACAGTGGAGATACTGAAATAACTGGAGAGCAGCCTGGAGTCTCTGGAGAGAGCTGGGGAAATGCTGCCCTGTTGCTTTGGCCATGGAGCAGGGCTCATCCTGAGAGATTGTCACCCAGGATGCCAGTCTGGTCATTTTGGTCTCTTCCATTTGTAGAGGAGGAGTTTCGGGGTGCAAATGGCTTCAACCAGTTTCCCTTCCAGCAGGGTTGTGGTCTAGCAGGGGACCAGTTGTCTGCTTCTCTTCAGGATCCAAAATATCAAAGTATAAATTCAATACTAAAAGTTCACCATTTCACAACTGTCGAAAGTGTGCCAAGAGAAGGATATTTCCTATAAAACTCTATATTGAAGTGAATCACGTGCATTATTTTCTTCTCTTTATTTGAACCATCGGATTTATTTTGTAATATGTGACTGAGCTGTTTTGTAATTCAGCTGTTGAAACAGCCCTAAAGTCTTTGAAGGTTTATAGCAGCTTTAATTCTAAGAAAGAAAACAAAATAGTCAGTGTAAATATGCACCAAGAGGCCTTGTAAATGTCTACCTGTGTATTTTTAAAGAATTGATCCTGTGTTTTCAACTTTTTTCCACTGCTTTGCTCATTTTGCAGTAAATTTGCCTAGCATGAAAAGCTTGTTGAATATAAACCAAAAACAGTCTTCACCTTACCTACTCCTCACTGCTGCTAGGCCTCTGCCTTTAAGTTTTTGACTCCTAATTAGAGATTTTACAGGATAAAATAATTGACATTCCAGTCTTTTCCCTCAAGCATCCCGTTTTACTTTTTCCTTCTGGCCCACCCTGCAGCTGCCCACAGCTCCACAGCTTTCACACCTTTCAAGAGCCAGATTAACAGCACTTTGAGCTGCAGTGACAGTGCAGTCACCTCTCCTTTGATGCCTGGACCCTTTTTCAGACATCTGAGGATATCAGCACCCTGGAGGGTGAGCAGCCTTCAGTTCTGAGAGTATTTTCTACATCACAACCTTTCAACAGACCCATGTGCTTTTTGTTCATGTATTTTTTGTGCATTTTGTTGCCTCCAATTTATCTTTCCTCTCTCATCCTGCGGGTGGAGGGAAGGAGCAGGGATTATTGGGAAGCTGCTTGGAAGTGGTCAGCCTTGATGCATTTTCACTGTTGACTTTTATCATTGAGTTTTATCTTCACAGAGCTGTCACCTCCCCCGCTGTAATAAATATTAGCTTTACAAATCTGAGGCCAGTGGTCAGCTCAGCACATCCATCCCCTCTGCTCTCAGGCCTTTTGATGTTGTTTCTATAAATCTCTCTGGCATGCCAGAGTAGAAACAAGAAGACCAAAAAAAAAAAACCCA